CATTTTTTGTAGTTTTTTTATCCTACCCTTATTATATTTTTATAAATAATTCAAGGCGGCAAACATGCCTAATACTCCTTCCTCCTCCTATTTTCCCCACAACAACAACCCTGTGAGGTGAGTTGGACTGAGAGAGAGTGATTGGCCCAAAGTCACCCAGCCGGCTTTCATGCCTAAGGTGGGACTAGAATTCACAGCCTCCTGGTTTCTAGCCTGGAGCCTTCACCACTAGACCAAACTGTCTTTTATGTGCATCACAAATATGACACATGTCAAATCCAGGCAGGGCTTTGATTGCACCATTAAAGCCACTACTGTGACTTTTTTGACCGTGCCCTGCAAAGGCCCTTGAGAGAGCACGGCCAGAAGTGCCTATAGGGATGATAAGCTTTGGCAAATGCCTGAACACGCTGGCCTTGCAACTTTTACCTGGAGAAATAAGGAGATAAAAGACCACTCCAAAGGGTTTTATTTTAAGGTGTAGCCTTGTTCCTTCCAATCTGTCACACTTTTTTAGCCCTCTAATGAAAAGAGCGACTTGGGCATCATTTTGTGAATGAGACTGTAGTACATTCATTAGAAAGCGTGCTGTCTCTGTGTAGGTTGTGGGCAGCTGCATAGATGACAAAGATGGAACTGATTTTTCTGATCCAGCATTATAAAAGGAACCTTGTTCAGGGAATACATACATCAAACTCAAGACACTGAAAACAATATATCAGATCTTATTCTTACCCCAAGTTTCCTTACAGCTTGATAAAATCTGATTCGCTTATTAACCATCTTATAAAGCAACCGCCCATCTACCTTTATCTTTTAAAGTTTTCCTTTTTGATGGGAGGTTTGTTCCTTGATGTACAAAATATTGTCTATGACCCCAAATAAATAACTTGACAGCTGTAAGAAAACCTGGAGGTATAAAGAAGATGTGACAGACTGTTCCTCATCTGATAAAGCAATCAGCCATGCGCTTTACTTTTCCTATTTTAATTATTATCGTATGCTTTGTGGTTTGGTGCTGGGACGGTTTGTCTGGGACTGCCAATAAAAAAATAATGCACCAGACTTTTATCTGCTTTCTCTCCCCCACTCCCCAATTCACGAGTTCACAAATGCTTGTATTCTGTCTCTCCTCCCGCCTCTCCCTACATGCAAAGGTACCCCAATGCACCCCCTTCCTTTAACCCTCCAGTTCTTTCTTCTCCGGTGTGAGGCTCAAAGGAACCAAAAAGCATCCCCCGGAATTATAACACCCCCCCCCGCAAACCGTTTCCTCTTATTCACTTTCCCTGCTTTCCCTGCATTTGTGAACGCCGCAATTCAGAGTCGCTCGTTTTGCTTACGCTACTCACGAGCCCAGCCCCTCTTTGGAATTATGGGGGCTGCTGCAACTCCCTCCCACCCATTTCCACCGCTCGCTGGAGAATTCTGGGAGTTGAAGTCCACACCTCTTGACGTTGCCAAAGTTGAGAAACACCGCTCCACAAGATAGGTGTTTCGAAAAAGCAAGCACTGAAGCCTGTCATTTAGCAAAAAGGGTATTTTTCATCATACTGGATTGGGCTGAACGGTGCTTCAGATTCAAAGGCAAAAGGTGCTTCGCAGCCAGTCAGGGTGTGCCCGTAGCATTTGCATGCAATTTCTTCGCGCAAACACCCCTTTTCCCAGGATCGTGTGGCAGCCGTGGAGGGCAGCCACGTGATCCCAGAGAAGGGGATGTAGACGTGGGCTATACTTGCAGCCGGCATGCTCCAAACCAGCTTTTCACCTTTGAAGTCAAAGCCCTGCGTGGCCTTCATACCTTTGATCAAGATTTAATGTATTTTTCTGGGCAGTGATTTGAACAAGAGCGTGACAAAGAGTAAAGCCCTCTGTATCTGAAGGCTCTTCTCTGCTTCTGTGAAAACGGAAGGGAATTTTGTCTCTGGCAGAATGTCCAAGACTTTTCTTGTTGCTAATGTTTTTATGTTTGATATCTTTATTGTTCTAAGGGATTCTGTGAGCCGCCCAGAGTCCCCCCTTAGGGGGAGATGGGCGGAGATTACATACATACATACATAAATGACAATCTCTTCCAATTCTCACGATTTCCCTTTGTATGTGGCAACAGTCACAATGTTGTAATGGCATTGTTCCCTTTTTTTCTTAAAACAACCCCTCCTTTCTCCAACATATTATGATCATTCCATCTCCCCTCCTTCTTTTCAAACATACCCCCAATTGGCAACTAACAGATCAAGGGGTATCTCTTTTATAGAGCCCCAAAACATTGATCTGGCATTAATCTATGCAGTCTGCCAACATTTGCACAAAGTAACACCAAGTTCCTCTCCTCCTTGACATTTTGTCTTCTGCTGATGTTTCACATTTAAAGGCCGGCGTGTTTTTAGGAACTGAACAACAGAACCAGCCACTATCTTCCAAAATGTAAAATGGTGACGTTAAGCTTAGTTCATGCCCAATTTTTGCAGATGGCTCCTTCTCTGACAGAGCATTCAAAGCTTCACTCAAGATTTGCTTGTAACTGATTGCATTCTGCTTCCAAAATTTCCAGAACTAAATATAGCTGGCTCTGAAACTTACTGCATGGGGGTTGCTATTCTATTAGTCACTGATCTTAGTTCCATTCTGCTTACATCAGTGTTTCTCAACCTTTAAGAGGTGTGGACCAGCTGGGGAATTCTGGGAGTTGAAGTCCACACCTCTTAAAGTGGACGAGGTTGAGAAACACTAGCATACCTGAACATCACACGAGCATTGCTGAATGAATCATTTCAGCATGACTTCATTGAGGGCTCTTTCCTCTGCCATGTTCCTGTTTCTTGCCCCAGTTTCAGCTTCACAAACTGGTCGCCTTTATATCCTACAGCAGTATTTCTTAAACTTTTTTTCTCTCAGGACTCCTCCCCACTTTTAAAAATGATAGAGGACCCCAAAAGAGCTTTTGTTTGTATGGGTTATATTGACTGATTTTGACGGTATTCAAAATTAAAATGGACGCCTCCGCTCACAATTGTTTGATGGGATTTTCATATTGTATTATTTGTCAATGCAGGCTGGCAAATCATTTTGATTTTGCGGATCCTTGAGAGGGTCTTGGGGGACCCCCAGGGGTCCTAGGACCACACTTTAAGAAACACTGTTCTAGAATAATACAGACTTCTCAAGCTGATCTCTTTTTTTACACATATGTAAAATGATTTGCTGTTTTACACGCTGCTTATCACAAACATACAGGACGTATCATCCTGACTTTGATTTTTCAATCAAACTCTTGTTTCACACTCAGATGTTACTTTTTCTCTTTTCTCCCTCCATTGAAGCCATGTCGGATTAACAAATTAAAGTTCTAGCTATAAACAAAGTATCGCTAACACTAACACTTTGGTAGCACGTGAAGAACCCTATCCGCCCTAGCTTTGGATTACTTCTCCAAACAATGGACATTGTCTGTTACGGCTGAAATTCACTTTTTGCCTGTGACATCTGAAGTCCATTGAATCGTCGATAAAACTGAGGGTTTAATGGAAAGGGAGGCCAGGACCCTCGCCTTCCTACTGACAGCCCACTGAAATGCACAAAACTAAGGCAGATACAGAACATTTTTGTTTCATTATCAGGTGTCTCTCCTTTCTCCAAATATAAGAAAGTGCATTTGTATCTCCCCCCCCCCAGCTTTAAAGGGGATGACCCCGATATCCTGGCTATATAAATTTAAATACTAATACGAATGATCATATATTCTGCTCTTTTTTCAATAGCGCCACGATGGGTGGAACCGGAGGAGAGATGCCAAATGATAAACTAGGGAGCAGCAGATGGGGGGGGGGGGTCCCAAAGGGTCAAGGGCACAGCCAGTGGGGCACCTAGATGATGATGATGATATCATTGCTCTGCAACGAAAGGCAACTGGTTCCCAAATAACTGCATTTAAAATCGCAGCTCCCCAAAGGCATGCACGAGGCTCTGCTTCAAGCGAGTTTTTTTTTTTTAACGCCCAATTGAAGATGCTCCAGCTATTTCGCGCTCCAGTTTTTTTTTTTTTTAATTTTATTTATTTATTTATTTGCATTCTTTCTCTTTGTTCGGCTTTTGCTCTAATGTCGCAAACTGGCCAACTCCGGCCGGAGGGAGCGGGAATAGGAGCGAAGAGCAATTGGCTTCGTCCCCTACTACCCTAATACGCTTGACCATCTAAAGGGGTCCCCAGGATCGTAGCAAGGGCGGGTCTGAGATGAGCGCCACCTTCCCTCCCTCCCTCCTTTTTCTCTCACCAGCATTCGCAAACGGCAGGATTCACACGGCCCTCCGCCCCGGGATTTGATGCCGCAAAGCATTCACGTGTCGTCGCTCGCCAGGCTCCCTCCCCCTGGAAGCCGCCGGCGGAGAATGGTCCGGTGCAAGACAACTCGCCCGGGCTCGCTCCTGGAAGTGACCAATAGCCAAACGCTGCGCTCCGGACTCAGCCAATCAGGCGCCCGCGCCCGTTCCGAAAGCCTTGCAGGGAACCCGCCCCCCACCTGTCCCCAGGCGCGTCTCTTCCCTGCGCGGGTCCCCGGGGGCAGAGGGAAGAGCAGCGGCCCGCATAAAGGAAAGGGGAGCTCCGTTTTGTGACCCAGATGTCCTATAACCCTCATCTCAGGCCAACATAATCAGTGGACATGCTGGCTTGCAAAGGGATGGCATGTACAAAGGTCCAACCTCTAGAACGATGTTTCTCAAACTCTGCAAGTTCAAGACACATGGACCTCATCTCCCAGAATTCCCCAGCCAGCATGCCAGCTGGGGAATTCTGGGAGTTGAAGT